TCCGTACACCTGCCGTGCCAATATTTCTCGGGAAAACATCTCCGAGTACCGGGACAAACTTGTGTCCGAAGTTTTGTCATTGTTTTTGCTGAACAAAGTCTCGGATTGAGGGCGACTAAATATAGTCCAGTTTAATCACCAGAAGACACGTTTACCGCTAAAAAAACCCCTTTGCAGTATCTCCTCAGTTTCAAGGCACTCCCCTTGTTGCCTCAGGCTGTATCGAAATCCTCAGCGTCAACATATCGAGTGACGTGCAGTTTCGTGGTCACTTGGTAGAGAATGCCAAATTGGCCTCTAAAAAGCTTGGATTGCTCAGCAGAGCGGGACATTATTTCATGCCGGCTCATCACCTGCAACTTTACAAGGCGCAGCTTTGGCCGCACATGGACTACTGTTCCCATCTCTGGGCTTGAGCTCTCCAGTGCCAGCTACGTCCACTTAACCGCATCCAGCGCAGAGCGGCTCGAATCATTGACGACCGAGTGCTTTCCGATCGGCTCGATTCACTGGCACTGCGAAAAGATGTTACATCTCTTTGCGTATTTTATCGCATCTACCGTTCGGATTAATCCCAGCCCTAAATTTCTAGAACGCAATACGTTGCAAACCTCCCAATACCATTCACACCATCTGGATGCTTGGCAGTCCACCACTGTACGTTTCACAAGGAGTTTTCTTCCGTGTACAACCTCTCTGTGGAATAGTTTACCACCGGCGATTTTTCCGGACCGATACGACCTAGGGACCTTCAAGGAAAGAGCTTACTCCTTTTCAAAAGGCCGGCAACACACCTGAAATTCCCCTGGTGTTCCAGATGCAGTTGTTCATGGGTGGCGGTAGTCACTTAACATCAGGTGAACCGTATGCTCGTTTGCCCCCTCTCCTATAAAAATCATTACATAATGTGACATTTTAAAATCTATTACTTAAATGACATTATAATATTGACATCAATTAATCTAGCTTGTAATAATCATAAATGTACGAAATTGAATTCCCACTTGTTGTTTAATTTTTTTTTTTGCATGTATAGGTATCTATAAAATATTTATACACCTTATAAAGTGGTAGAACGAGCATTCTCTGTCTACAGGTAGAATGTAAATGGGTCATTAGACATAATTTAAGATCATACTTTAATGTACAAATATATTCTGGCAAATAAGTAAATGAAATTGAATTTGTATAATTAAAGCAAACAAAAGTTTAATACCATACAGTCTATTCTGAATTTGTACTTTCTTCAAGAAACTTTACAATTACAATAAATACTACATACGGAATGCCGTTTCGGGATTCCAATCCGGGATTTGAAAAACGGGATTCCGTATGTGTGTGGCCGACCCGTTAGTTTCGTTTCAGAATTCCGAAGCGGAATCCGAATTGGAATCGGAATTGAGTATTTATGTGGCGGGCCAGAATATTTTTTTTATATAGGATAAGGTTGACTGACAAACGAGTACACAACCCATCAGCCACATTGTTAAGTGGTTGCTCTGGCGCATAGACATCTACAGTTATCCTTGATTAACGATAAGAATTAAGAATAAGAATCAAAATTCAGATGCGTTGTCACCCATGAGTACACAGTATAGAATGCCTCGTTTCCAGCATAAAGGGTCTCCTTCTCCGGTTCTCTACACTCAACAAACGAAACATAGCAGCGTCAAGCTGCTATTTTACGCTGGTATTCTGTGTAAGCATGGGTCATTGACGGTTTTTTAGTTAATGTAATTTATCTGTTAATCTTTAGTGGTCAACAGGTTTAAAAAGCTGTTAAATAAATAACAGGCTTTGAAACTTTAATTGTTAGCGTTAATTTAATATTTCAACGTTTTCGATCAATAACAATTTTGTTGCAGGCTTAGGACTGGCTGGGTATATGCATTATTCATCATTTTTTTGTTTTTTTTTCCTTTGTTCTATTTACAATTACATATCAAAGCCCATAACTTGCAAAACGACCACCGTCTAAGTTAACATTTCAAAATAGCAGTTTCTCTATTTTGCTCCTAGTTAGTCTTGTTCTTCTTTGATTAACAATTAGCCCCGATTTGGAGAACGTTCTTTCGCATTGCACTGATGCTGCTGGTCGTAGTACATTTTTCAATGTAAATTTTGGGTAAGTTTGGATAAAAAATTGTAAGTTCTCCATCATTCCAAAGAAATCTTCCAGCCACCAGTAGTATTTGTTCTTAGTAATATGTCGTCGGCCAAATAGATGTCCACTTCTTTTATGGCTTTTGATAACGGAGTGACTGTGGTGGGAGGTGCCCATATTATTTGATCAAAAATATTGAGTGGACTGAATTCATTCTAGTTCTTGTCAATTCATTTTGATTTGAAGTTTGGGCCAGTGCTGCGCATCAATTTTGGATATTTCGGTGGCGACCAAAAAAGAGAAAAGAATTCCGTCAAAACCCAATAGTGCGTTTTAGAAGAAATTTTGACTTTTTAGCCCCTAGGCTATAAACTTAACAGATGACATAACATAAGATCACTAAATAACTTTGAAGTGAGAAGTAAAATTACAGACAGAAATTTTTGATTATGAAGGTACGGAGAGCCTTCTTTCTTTGGACATGTAAACAACACACGCTAATACAGACACACACATACACACACACACAGACACACACACACACACACACATACACATACACATACACATTTGCAATATTGCCTACATTAATTTGTTTTATTTATCCCCCTTTTTTACTGTCATAAATTTTACGTTTTAAATTATACTTGATAATATTATATAATAAATAAACATTATAAATATAAAATATAGATAAACAAATTATAGGAATAGAACTAAGAATAGGGAAGGAAACTAGCCCCTGAAATACAGGTATTATATCCTAGTTTAGGGGCTAATGACCACTGTAAATTTGGTGCATGTAATATGTTTATCAATAAAGATTATTATTATTATTATCTAAATCAACGGTCCAAAAGAGTACACAAACTAAATGTGCCACTTTGCTCTATCCCTTTGAATCTGTCTGATAAACCTGATTTCAAAAATGAAATTATATCGTGGATATTTGATGTTTGATTTCCTGTCTCTCATATTTTATTATAAGAATATATCAGGCAACGTGTCGTTATTATAAGATAACACGACGTCAAATATTTATGGCCACTCTTCGAATGGTTCACCTGACATAACTGTTGGTAGGTGGTCCAATCTTCCGAAGTGATCGTCGATAAGTATTTGCCCACTAGCGTCTCAGTCTTTCTCTGCGAGCTTTTTTATGTGAGTCACAATTCGTTTTATACTGTCTATATGTCTTTGGCAGAGTAAACTTTTGTTTCTACGTGGCATTGACATAATGTCCAAGCTTTGTCACAAAACAATATTCACGTAAAATACCAGCCAGTAAAACTTAAACTTAAAAAATAAACTAAACTTAAAAACACTTGTCCTCGCCCGCGTAATGCAAACAAAAGAATCTCAACGAATTTTAGCCTTGAACGAAGCTCACGGATTGTTTACACATACTAAATACCAAATCTTAACAAATAACAAATTAACTTTCTTTACTTGCTCACGCTCACACACACCCACAAGACCGCGTCCGATGTGTCGACGCGGCGGTGTTCGGTAACCTCCGGAAGTAACGAATATTTCCGAAGAAAACTAAATTCACAGAAATGAATAAAATAATATTGAAAAAATGCGTTGAGTGCGTTGACGTAAAATGAAAGCTAATATTTTCAACCTATTTTTTCATTAATGAATAACAGTTAACACATTGACGAATGAAAAGCCGTTGAAAAAAAGAGTTTATTGATTCAACACCCACTTCTATAATATAATCTATTATAATTCTGAGTGAGCGTGTTCCTTATCCGGTCGAGTTGACCCGTTCGTGATATAGTTAACTACTAATTTAGATGCAGCATAGCTCTATCGCGTATAACGAGAGAGAGAGTAAACGAGTTTTGTGAATAAAATACACGTCAGATAAGGCGGAATGGGCAAGGATCCCTTTGCCCTTAAAGAAATAAAATATCAATTGAATGACAAACAATGATTTCAATTTTCAATATGATTGTCTAGTGAAATATGATTATTACGATATAGTATTATATTCTTGATATAACTCCTATGTCTTATTGAGACTAAATTATATAAACGATATGGCCACCTTAATACAGTCGTATGAGCAGCAGTATTCCGTACTAACTGCTGAAGTTACAGCAAAAATCGGTCGACTAAAAGTTGGAAATGAAGGTAATTTTCCTAATAATATAAAAAAATAATATTTCTAATAATACCTTTAGTACTTCTTATTAATTTATGAACAAATATTTATTTATAAAAAAAAGAAACTTATGAACGTATGTATTAAATATTCGCAAATTAAAATTGTTTCGTGAAGTCTAAGCTTTGACTATTTATTTATGTCGATAAACTAATGGACTGATTTTGATAAAAACTCAATCAGTTTCTAAACACATAATTGTGGATTAAATGTAACTGTTAATTGTTATCGAGATATTATTATCATCATCATTGTTACAGCCCATCTCATGTCCACTGCTAAACATAGGCCCCCTTCAAAAAATACCACAAAGCATGCATCTTTTACCATCTGGCTTTTAGCATATTTTATCCGGTTGTCATTCTATCTAGAGCTACGCTTGCTTTCTGAACAAGGCTGCCTCTCAAGAGGGCTAGACAATTGCCAATTTTAGCTTACTATCACACTGAGAAATTGAGCATAACTCACTTAATAGTTCCTTGAGCAATCTTGAGATTCCTTATATGGTCATCAGTGGAGGACCATGTCTCAGATCCATTTGTCATCAAAGGCAACACTTAGAGTTTTACACTCTTATAATCAAGGTTTGAAGTTTGGGTGATAAGATGTGTTGAGCGGATTACAGATTATATAAAAGTACTCTAGGAGTGTGTACCCATTTTCCTTTAATTATCCATAATTATTTTCCTACAATTAATGTACTATTAAATAATAATGCATAACATGATAATTATAGAGAATCGGGAGCAGTTATCAAAGGAAATACAAGCAAATTTTGAGGAGGCAAATGACTTGGTAAGTTACACTTTTTCAGTTTCTGGTTTATTTATGTTTTCATAATAATAATGAATAAGTACCCTGCACTATTGCTTATAATTTAATGGGTACAATATAAGTTATAAATAATGCATTACTTAACGATTACCTTCACTTCATCCTTGGGTGACCTTGGGTGACCCAAAGGGGTCTGTAGAATCTACATCGGTTAAGGATACTTTTAATTTGTTCCATCTTTAATATGTTGCCCATTTGGCATATAAAATTCTGTCTAGAACATACCTTGCCAACAGCAAAAATATGCTGTGTCACTCATTTCTCATTCACTCTGTGTACACATATATCCAAACCACTGAAGTATTCTTTTTTAATCTTGGATGCAACAATTTATAAAAAAAATCGTTTTTATTTTATAGGAGAGGGAGCAAATGAGCATATGGCTCACCTGATGGTATGTGATTACCACCACCCATGAACAGCTACAACACCAGGGGAATCGCCGATGCGTTGCCGGCCTTTTAAAAAGGAGTAGGCTCTTTTTTTGAAGGTCCTTAGGAGGTATTGGTCTGGAAAAATCTCTGGTAGTAGTTGATTCCACAAGGAAGTTGTGCGAGGAAAATAACTTATTTTAAATTGCATGGTGGTGGACCGCCAGTCGTCCAGATGGTAAGAATGGTATCGCATGTTTTGTTGCGTTGTGTGATGGTGATATTGTGTGGCTGAAATTAGTCTGAACAATTCCTCAGAGCACTCCTCGTGGTAGATGCGATAGAATACAAAGAGATGCAACATCTCTTTGCAGTGCCAGTGAATCAAGCCCATCGGAAAGAGCTCGGTCGCCAATGTTTCGAACAGCCCTGCACTGGACGATCAACTGGAAGGAGCTGGCACTGGGGAGCATTCTGCAATGGAGTATTCCATGTGCGGCCGAACCTGCGCCTTGTAAAGTTGCAGGCGGTGAGCCGGCATGAAATACATGTCCCGCTCTGCTGAGCACACCAAGCTTTTTAGAAGCGAATTTGGCCTTCTCTTCCAAGTGACCATGAAACTGCAGGTCACTCGATATGTCGACGCCGAGGATTCCGATACTGGCTGAGGCGACAAGGGGAGTGCCTTGAAACTGAGAAGATACGACAAAGGGGTTCTTTTTAGTGGTAAATGCGCAAACTTGTGTCTTCTAGATATTAAACTGGACTAGATTTAGTCGCCCCCAGTCCGAGACTTTGTTCAACAAAGTTTTGACTTCAGACACAAGTTTGTCCCGGTACTCAGCGACGTTTTCCCGAGAAACGTCGTCTTCGAGAAAAGAGAAATATTGGCACGGCTGGTGTTTAAAGAATCACCAGTACTGTTGTCTGTTAGTTACCGTTTTGCAACATGTCATTGATATGCAGAAGAAACAGCGTTGGTGATAGCACGCAACCTTGTGGAACGTCAGTGTTAATGGGCTTGTAATCAGAGCATGCACTGTAGCAAGAAAACTGGTGATCGAATTGCACAATTTCTGGGGAAGCCCATAGGAAGGAAGCTTCATAAGAAGCACTTTGTGCCAAACCGGATCAAAGGCCTTCGCTTTGTCCAAACTAATGGCCAACGCCTCCCCCTTGCACTCTACTGCCTGCGCCCATCTATGAGTTAAGTGGACCAGAAGATCACCAGCTGATCGACCACGGCGAAAACCGTATTGGCGGTCACTAATCAGCTGGTGATCCTCAAGGTACCTCATGAGCTGGCAGTTAACAATAGACTCCAGTGTTTTGGAGAACAAGGAGGTGATGGCGATAGGCCGGTAGTTGGACGGGTCTGAGCGGTCGCCTTTTTTAGTGATCGGACCATTTACCAGAAGATCACTAGCCGAGCGACCGCGACGGAAACCGTACTGGTGGTCACTAATCAGTTGATGATCTTCAAGGTACCGCATGAGCTGGCTGTTAATAATGCATTCCATAATTTTAGAGAACAAGGAGGTGATAGGCTTATAGTTGGACGGATCAGAGCGGTAACCTCTTTTAGGGATCGGGTGCACGAGGGTTGTCGTTCATGATTTCGGGACTACGCCGTGATGAGTAGAAGTACCGCAAAAGACGCGTTGAAACCGGTGCCCACTCCGGAGCACACGTTTTCAGCACAATAGAAGGGACGCCATCGGGCCAACTCGACTTGTTGACGTCCAGGGAGAGGAGTGCTCTGCGCACTGAGCGTTGGGTAAACAGGACATCCTGCATGGATCACTCACTCCGCGGGATGGTCGGCGGTGTGTTCCCCCGTCATCAAGAGTCGAGTTGGACGCAAAGATAGAGCCCAGCAGATTGGCTTTGTCCTTTGCGGCATGGGCTAGTGAGTGCAGAGATGGGAGAGATGGCTGAAAGAATTTCCCTTGGACAGCCTTGGCGAGAGACCAGAATGTACGTGTTCTCGAAGGAAGACGAACTAGTTTCTCGCCAATTCTGCCGATGTGCTCTAATTTTGCCTTGACAATGACACTTTTGAAGAACCTGGAGGCAGAGTTGTACTTCTTTTTAAGAGCGCTGGTATTTGCATCCTGAGACGTAGATGCGCAAGCCCAGGCCTGGTAGCACTCCTGCTTATAACATAGTGCAAATTTGCAGTAGCAACCAAACCAAGGCTGGGTTCTGCCTCCGATAGGTACCACAGATGATGGAATAAAAAGTTCCATTCCCTGTAGCACCACATCAGCGACAGAATCAGCAACAACGCTGGGATCATCCGGCGAGAAGCAAACCCGCCTCCAAGGGTAGGATGCAAAAAAAGATCGCATCCCGTCTCAATCTGCTGACTTATAATGCCAAACACGGCGGCAACCTGCACTACGCAACCGCTATGAGAGCGTGAGTGGCACCGTACGCCGGATCTGACAATGGTCCGAGGAGCCATAAGGGGCATCGTCAGAGACCTGATATCCGTCCGGATGAGAGGTCATCAGAAGGTCCAGCTGGGAAAGTACATGATCTTCCACATCTAGGATCCGCGTAGGCGAGGTAACCAGTTGTGTCAGACCATATGCCAAAACAAAGTCATAAACAGATCTACCTGCATGATCGGTTAAACGAGAACCAAAAGATTCAGCATGGTGGGCGTTCAAATCACCAAGTATCACGGTCTCTGTCGGTGGTATCTGTTGTAGTACGGAGTCTGTAGCCATCTGGACATGGTCGATAAGTCAGTCTGTCTCGGCATTACCGCTGTGGGACCTAAAGAGTTCTTTTTTTAATATAGGATAGGGTAACAAATGAGCACACAGTCCACCTGATAATAAGTGGTTGCGGTGGCCAATAGACATTTACATTTATCCTCGATTACGAAGCAAAATGCAGATGCGTTGTCACCCATGAGAACTAAGATGGAATGCCTCGTTTCCAGTAAAAAGGTTTCTGGTTCTCTACACTCACCATACGAAACACAGCAGCATTAAGCTACTATTTGACGCTGGTATTCTGTGAGAGCGTGGTCCTTCCCCGGTCGAGCCGACCCATTCGTGCTTCAACTATTCCACTAATATAACTGCAGCATGGCTCTACCACGTATAACCATCCTCGCGTCTCCCGTAGACGCGGGGATGGTCGTCGCTGTCTACGCGCAGCCATAAGATGGACAGGTCCGTACCTTCAAGGCTGCCGAGACGTCGAAAACAGATGTCCTCTCTGACGTACACGCAAACTCCAGCTCGGGGCACAAAGAAGTGTTCTAATTTTTACCCTGGGTAGGAGAGATACAAAGGGATGACTTTGACTTATTGCTCCGTTTGCCCCGAGCAGGTTTAGTCTCGAGCGGAATTTTGCCCCCAAGAATACGCGGGGTAGCCTGAGCACCCGCGCTCATGAGTGGAGTAGCTTGGTCGTGGATGCTCAGCAAGGGATTCTACAGGGGTGCTGGTACCCTCCTGGGGTAATTGTGTATTTAATTCCGCTACCATGTTGATGGGGAGGGATTGGGCCTCCGGCCACCTGCACTCACCAAACGAAACGCAGAAGCGAAGCCTCCACTTCACGCTGGTCTTCTGTGAGTTTGTGGTACCACCCCGGTTTGAGCAGGCCCATGCGTGTGACAGAAAAGGCTGCCGCGTGGCTCTACCACAGTAAAATTATCTAAAAATCTGAGAAATAAAATAAAATGATAAAAATTGTTAAAAAAGTTTCTGCCATAATTTTATATAACTTTGCAATATTATAAAATATTTAATTTTTAATTTAAGCATTCATAAAAATTTGTATGAAGGTTCCACTGAAAAACAGGTCAGAAATATTGTGTTGAAAGCATGTAGGTATTTAATTGTCCTACACATTGTAATATAAAAATGTCCTGCTCTCCTCTGTTGAAAGGTTAAAATCAGATTTAATAAGAATTCTTTTTAATAAAAATTATTTAGCTGTGTATTTTTTTTTGTCACAAAGTGTTATTTTTTAGTTATAATATATATGTATATAAAATTATGCATTGAATCAAATTATTTTCCGTTTCTTACCATAATAATAATATGCCATAAAAATGTCTTTGTGTTAAGTTGGAGCAATTGGAGTTGGAGTACCGTGGAGCTGGTGCTGGGTCTCGAGTTGCAGCCTACCGTGCTGAGCTCCAGCGGGTAAAGGATGAATATCGTTCTGTTCTGAGTAATTCAGCTACATGTATGTAACATTCTTGAACTTTGAAGCTTTATTTAACAATGGTTTTTATTTTTGTATGAGCAGCTATGTAGGTCTAATAAGATCATTATCACTGTACTAGTAAGATGTATTGTGATAGCTGCTATGGCTATGCAGTTCATTGCTAAGCCCTATATATATATATATATATATATATATATATATATATATAATATATATATATATCTTCAAATAATAAAAGGAGTTGCTTAGTTGTGAGCAATTTTACTTCTGGGCTCAGTACATAGAACCAGATGAGTGTTTATGATTGCGTATTATGGGTTCACAGTTAGTTAGGATATGCAGAGGTGTTTCTTCTATTAAGGGATAGAAACAGCAAATCTTGAGTTGCTTAATCCCAAGATGTACATGTGCTTATTTACAGTCTAATTAGGGTTCTTGCTAAAATAGGTAGTTTATTCTTACTTAATCCCAGTTTCTAAAGTGAATTTACGATTATATAGAGAATGGTATAATTTTTTATTAAATATGATGATATTTAAATAGTTATAAGGTAATTTTTATGAAGCTGCAGTGACAAACAAACTTACAGTCCACTTGATGGTAACGGGTTATTGCAGTTAATGAGCACCTGGAGCCAATTTCAATTAAAAAAGGCTACAGATGTGTTGCCTCCTTTCAGGACTAAGGTGGAATGCCTTACAGCCTGCAATATTACATGGTAGAGCCATGCTGTAGCTATATTAATAGCATAGTTATAGCACAAATGGGTCGGTTCGATCGAGGTAGGACCAAGCTCTCGCAAAATACCAGCAAAATGTAGCAGCTTATGATGATACCATATAGAACATTTTATGCATCGTAGAGCCATGCCGCAGCTATATTATGGTTGCAGCACGATTGGTAGACTTCACCGGGATACGACCACGCTCTCACAGAATACTAGCGTAAAATGGCAACTTAATGCTGCTGTGTTTTGTATGGTGAGTGTAGAGAACCGGAGACTCTTTTTACTGGAAATGAGGCATTCCATCTTAGTCCTCATGGGTGACAATACATCTGCATTTGATTCTTAATCAAAGATAAATGTACATGTCCATGAGCCACAGAGACCACTTAACATCATGTGGACTGTGTGCTCGTTTGTCACCCCTATCCTATATAAAACGAAATATTCTAGCTCTCTCCATCCTTCGAACTGGAATACAGTAGTGCAAATACTAGTATTAGGCGGCGGGGTAAGAGCAACAGAGACTAGTCATCTGTGCAGGACAGGCTTATATACTTATAATTGCACATATTATACACTGGCACGTGTATATGCGCAAGTACAATGAATGAATGAATGAATGAATATACTTTATTGTACACCACAAACAAATTTACAAAGAACATAACAGAGAGCAGATTATATGTACAATTTGTCGGCCTTATCGCTACATAGCGATCTCTTCCAGGCAACCAAAGGTGTAAAGGAATAAAACAGTGAATACTAGGTAGGTGGTGCAATATAAATATAGCTAATATACATTAAAAAATATGATACACATATACATACGTATATACATAAACACACACACACACATATATATATATATATATACACATATACATACATATATCCTCAAATATATACCACTAACAATAACATAAACAAATAAATACAAAACTACATAATCACATAATTTATCCTAATGATTTTCAAACGATTGAGACAAGTAATGCTCTTTAAGAAGTCGCTTAAAGACTACAATAGTCTGAGCTTCGCGTATATACAAAGGTAGGGCATTCCAGAGCTTAATAGACTGTACAGTAAAAGATTATTAAAGAAGGATGTATTGTGAGTTGGTACCCTTAAAATGAGTTTTCTTGAAGAGCGTAAAGGTTCCCCTGGAAGCCCAACAAAACTAAACTTCTCCTTAAGATAAGGAGGAGTAGAAGGGTGAAATAAGAAACAGAACAGAATAGAAAGAATATGCATGTTCCGGCGAAATTGGATAGGTAACCACTTGGGACGTGAGCGAAATTGGGAAATGTGGTCAAATTTGCGCAATCCAAATATGAACCGAATACTAGTATTTTGAAGTCTCTCAAGCTTAGTTAGCTAGTTACTTGTCTTTAGTTATGTCTACGTAGCTTGCGTCAGCATAGTCGAGAATCGGAAGGAGAAGAGACTATGCGAGCATAATTTTTGTAGGAATGGGAAGAAATGATCGAAGGCGACGCAGTGAACTAAGAGCGACAAAGGTTTTCTTACTTACCTCATTCAGTTGGCGTTTCCAATTTAAGGAACTAGGTAAACACCAAGATTTTTGACATTGTCGAAGTAAGGGATCACAACCCCATCGAATACAACAGGTGGTATGGAGAACCAGTCAATTATTGAGATAAAGCTCTGACTACCAAAAATGATAGCCTGTGACTTTTTAGGATTGACATTTAGGCCATATGATTGACTCCACTCATGAATCATATTTAAGTCATTGTTTAATGTAGCGATTGCATTCGGCAAATTCTCAAGAGTTGACTGGGTGTAAATCTGGACATCATCCGCATACATGTGGTAGAGAGAAGAAATTTTATGAGTAATTGAATTAATGAAAATGCAAAAGAGTAAAGGTGACAATACGCCACCCTGCGGCACGCCTGCAGTAATATCACACCAAGATGAGTGAGTTTCATCAACATGAATACACCGCCGACGGCCACAGAGATAACTTTGAAAGCAATCAATTACTGATGGAGATATGTTAAGGGAATACAACTGACTCAACAGTATATCGAAATCAACAGTATTGAACGCATTACTGAAATCTAGCAAGGTCATGACTGTGAGTTGTTTATTATCCATACCCCACCGTATGTCATCAGTAACTTTAATTAAGGCAGTAGCCGTACTATGACCGGGACGGAAACCAGATTGTAAAGAATTCAACAAATTGTGCTTATTAAGGAAAAGTGTCAGCTGTTGGCAAATAAGTTTTTCAAGGACTTTAGAAAGGAAAGGTAAAATCGAAATGGGACGGAAATCAGTGAGGTTGACGGGATTAGATTTCTTCGGAAAGGGTATAACATAAGCACTCTTCCAGGCTTGAGGGAATTTAGAGGAAGATGCACATGCGTTAAGCAAATGAGTGATAATGGGAGTGATAACATCAAGGAGAGAAACGATCATATTACGGCTAATGCTGTCGCTACCGACAGCATTTGAGGTGATGGATAATATGATTTTCTTAACATCACATACAGTAAATTGACTAAAAACGAACGGAGAATAATTAGGAGGCGGACTTACAGAAAAAGAACGAAGTATTTGCAGTTTATGTTCACTATCAAAAGAGTTAGAAGGATTAGAAAAATGTTGATTTAATAGTTCAACATCAACACTGGGAGGTGAAGTATTAAGAGAGTTTCTACCAACTCCAACTGTTTTAAGAAACTTCCACACCCTAGGTGAGTCGCCGTTCTCGACTGATGAATGAATATGGCGTCGTTGTGCATCTCTACACAATGTGTTGCAGCGATTCCGGATTTTAGTGTATTTTCTAAGGTTTTCCTCTGTTTTGTTCCTCTTAAGCTTTGACAATGCCGCATTCTTCTTCAAAATTAGCCTTTTCAGATCATCAGAGAGCCATGGAGCAGGTAAGTGCTTGAGTTTAACATGATGCATTGGCGCGTGTACGTCATATAGCTGAGTGAGAAGGGAATTGAAAAGTTCCACTTTATCGTCAATGCATGGTACTCTCTCCGCCCAAAGTTGGTCAATATCCATTCCTCCAAAATTACGTCGTAGAACTAATTTAGGTTTGATTTTAGGAGGGCGTAGTTTATACGAAAGGAAAAGTAAATCGTGATAAGAGAATGCATCAGCGGGACACTGTCCATGCTTGAAAACTAGGTTTGAAGATGACACGATAATTAAGTCCAGAAGGGAAGGAGTACAGTTAGGAAATTTGTGAGTAGCAGCAAGGGGTAGGATTTGCATATTACACGCTTCAATTATAGACTCAAGTTTTATAGCCCGATTGTCGCCTTTAAGTAAACAGGTGTTAAAGTCACCCATTAAAATAGTATGACTATATGTAGGGACTAGTGATTCTAAAAGAGATTCAAAAGAAGTAAAATAGTTTATAGAAAGAGAGGGACTGTAGAAAACTCCAAGTAGGATTTTATTCTGAGACAGGGAGACCTCAACTAGCAAATGCTCAGCAGAATCACCAGGAGGCGGTTGACATGACGAACTAACAATTTTAAATGGAAAGTAGGATCTTAGGTAGATCGCCACGCCCCCACCACCTCTATTATTGCGGTCATTTCTAATTAGATGAAACCCAGGCAAAGAGTAAGAAGTAGAAGGCAAACAGGGTTTTAGCCAAGATTCTGAAACTAAAATGGCGTGAATATTTCGGGATTCAAATGACGCAAGCATGTCGGGATAATGAGCCGGAATGCTTTGAGCATTAATATGAATAGCATTGAAATTATTCACACAGTCTGAGAAACAAGAATTTAAGGTGATGTTGAGTGAAAGAGAAGCAGTTGTACTGTGATAACTAACATCACTAAGTGTCTCATCATCCGAAGACGACAGAAACAAATCACTATCGTTACAAATGTTTGAGGATAACATAAAAACTAAATATACAAATAAATAAATACTAATGTACAATAAAAAAAAATATAAAAAATATAAATGCAAGATCGAACGGTACCCACACAATTACAACCACCAGCAGCATGAAAGAGAAAGCATATAACACAACAACAACTTAAATAAATAAAACAATAAGTTTAATATTAAAATTCCCAAAACTAAACAAAAAAAAACTTGTAGTCTAACACCAATAAATTGTAAAAAATTATAAACGTCGGACTAGGCAGTATGGTTAACATAGATGCCTTTACCAAGCTAGTAAAATATAAAAAGTAAAAAAATCTACGAATTCTCTGTCTACGTCTAAGAATGCTTCTGTCAGCCTCTGTGGTTACAGTTAGAGATGAGTCGTACTAGGTAAATTTCG